GGTCCGGGGCGCCCTGCAGGAGCACCCGCGCCAGCAGCGCCGAGGCGGGCAGCCCCCGGGCCCCTGCCCACCCCAGACCTCGGCCGAGTTGGTTCCTCAGCTCATCTGGAGCACAGCGTGCCAGGGTCTCTGACCACTGCTGTCCGCGCCAGGAGTTTACGATTCGAATGTAACACGTTTATGAGAACCGAAGAGGATGAAAGGATCACATTCACCCTACAATTAGGTTTATAGCTACATCTTTCACAATGAAATTTTCTTTTTATAAAATATTACAGCATACATCTAAGAAGATATGACAGGGCAGGAGCTGGGGTCATGCTGCACACGAAGTTTTGAACCTTCTATTCCACTGAACTGTACATTGCGAGCACTTTGCTGTGCAATTAAAAACCCTTTTTCCTTTCCCACAAAATTTCATATTGTTAAATATCCGTAAGTACAAAACCTGCAGAGATACGTCAGTGTAGGGTGAACTCTCACGTTCCCTCAGTAGCCAGCATCTTTCCAGGCACCAGAAACGTACTCGCTGTGGACTGTGCTCCTCACGGAGGGAGACTGCTCTCCTCACTTTAGTCGTCTCCTCTCTGTACCTTGTCACCTAGAGCGCATCTCGAGACACCATCATTTATTATTGCCTGAGAGTGTAATCTGTAATGAGTGTTTATTTTCCCACCATATAAGGATGCCCAAATACATGCAGGAATGCTTTATTGTATTATTTTCCTTCCTTCTTGGCAGTTTATTTTTTGTCTCTTTATCTTTTTTAAAACTGGGGATTGAACCTAGGAGCTCATGTACGCTTGGCTAGGGCTCTTCCACTGAGTCCCCGAGTTACATTTTGAGACCTTTTTAAAGTTTTAAAATTGTAAAGGGTCTTGCTAATTTGCCCAAGCTAGCTTCCAACTTGTGATCTTCTTATCTCAGCCTCCCAAGTAGCTGGAATTACAGGCATGTTCCACAGTGTTGGGCTCTAATATCTTTGGAGTAGATATCTTTTCATATAATACAAAATTTTAAAGTTTCACATGGAAATGCACTGGAAAACTTTCTCCTCCTTCTCCTCCCCACCTAACTCTCTCATGACTAGTTTCTAGTCTAGTACTTTTTGAGAAGAAGAGCTTGAGAAAGATATTACAGTTTTGCATTTTTAATGTCCTAAGTTGAATTCCTAAGTGGGTACAAAAAATATAATTCTTAGGACAGCATTGCCAAAATTACTTTTTCTCTTATATGAAATTGGAATCGTTTGTAGAGTGAGTTATATAGATTCACTCTTGGACTGATGAAGTGTGTAACTTTGAACAATTATGTGTGCCAGATATAAAATGACCGAAAAAGGAGACAAGAATAGAATTTCGTGTGGGTATTTTACTTCTGTTCACTATGGAGCCTAGAGCTGCACATTATTTTTTGTCTCTTAGTACAATGGAAAACATAGTCAATGTGTTATGCTTTACTCCGGCAGATCCATAAACAATGTCATTATGATAACACACGAATGACGAGAGAAAACACTGCTCTCTAATCTGCCTGAGCACCCACCATGTTTATTTATTTATTTGGTTGGTTGTAAGAAACAAAAATAAACTTTTCTTACTTTAAAACAACAACCACCACAAAAGAAAATTTTCTGGAAGGATTCAGGTGCTCCCTGGTCGGAAGGCTGGAGATGCAGGCTTTGAAATGCACACGGCCAACAACCTTAGGAGGCCTAAGAACTGGGCATGATGAGAAGGGTCTCATTGGAGGTGGCTGTGGATAGTTTGTTCCTGATTGTGGAACAGGAGCAACTGGTCCTGATTTGTCAGATGCAGTGGGTGCACATGTGGGTGGCTGTACCAGCAGATGTACAGTGGAAATAGAACACTCCTCTCAAGTGCGAACAAGGCCCGCAGGTGTGAGCAAGTCACACGCACGCTGTCTCAGGCCTATGTGCCACCCTCCCTGTTGTACCCATGCCCCACCCTCCCTGAGGCCAGGGGCCTCCAGGGGCAGGAATGTGGGTAGTTTCTCGGGACGGAGTGCTAGAAGAAGAGGTAGCGAGGGCCCTGTCTCCACATGAATCCTCAGGGCACATCAGCGCTCGTGGCAATGCACCGCACCACACGACAGCCTGCCCAGGAACAGGACAGCCCGGCAAAGCCCTTCCTCCATACACCCCACTGCGAGTGAAGAGATGGCCCTCCACGGAGCGTGG